AGGCACTAGTCTCTCTATAAAGTATTCTGAATCAGATCCTGTAATTGTCATAATTTCCAAATCAATATTGCTATTTTTGTAAATTATGAGGATTGTGATGTGAGATTTCCTTTGTGGTCTGGCAGAGAGGGAACAAGAAAGATGAATTGGTATATCCACTTAATTTCATGAGGTGAAATTACTGACAACCTTCATGAGATTGTTTTGAGATGAGTTGTGAAAGCAGCGCAGGAAGCTGACACAGACAATGACAATAGCCCATGCATAGTAACTGTGTATATGTACAAAAAAAGTTGATAGCTGAGGATTTCCAATCAATCCATTTAGCCAGCAATAAACTACCACAAAAAGAGAGAAGAAAGGGTCCTTGCAGTTTATATAAGTAAAGATGAAGTTCCAAACTCAAGCCAGAGTCTTTTTCAAAAGCAGTTGTGATGGCGTGGGGCATAGTAGCCCCAACCAGTTGTCTGGGGAGTCAGGATTTCTGAGTAAACTTCTAAAGCTTTACTCATAAGCAGCAGCTGCAAGGAAAGGTGAGTGGCAGGAAGCAGATTTCCCTCTGGATGAGTCTTCATCTGGGACACAGAGAGCTGTTCTGGATTGGCACATTCCCCAGCGTAGCCTTACAGCTGCAGCAGGGAAGCATTTTGGCTTTACGTTCCTTTATCCTTTGTAATAATACTTTCCATCTCCCTACTGCTGTGCGCAGGTTTTAGCTTGTCAGTGTTGGCTCCTGCAGCACTGCCCCTCATCCTGCTGGCTTTCATTGATCGTTGCTGCCGTTGACACTCACATGCCCTTTGATAAAGTAGCTGTCAAAGCTCCCGTCCCTCTACCAGCCGCGTTAGGGACCCACTCCTATCCCAGACGTTCATTGCCAAAACGTTTATGTAACAGATGTTGCAAAGCCAACGCACAGAAACACACACACACACTCACACACCATTATTGCAAAGGCTGTCAGGGTGACGATAAAGGGAGGATGGTCTGCAGGACTAGCGTAGCTCAAAGGCATAGCTGCATCTGTTAAAAAAGCAACTAATGTCTCTGTGTGACCATGCTGTATTTTCAGCTTGTCATCATGGCTGGGACCGTTCTGCTCGCCTACTACTTCGAGTGCACCGATACTTTTCAGGTGCATATCCAAGGTTTCTTCTGTCAGGATGGCAATTTGATGAAACCGTACCCTGGAACAGAGGATGAGAGCTTCATTTCACCTCTTGTGCTCTACTGTGTGCTGGCTTCAACTCCGACAGCTATTGTAAGTATAAGAAATTATTTGAATTCTCCACAACTGCTCCATAAATAATAGCAATAGTCCTGTAATATCTTTGTCCCCTCTCCTCTTTTCAGCTGTAATTGATTTACACTTAGCTGGGCCTCTGTTTTGCCTTATGATCTTCATCGGTTATCTCCAGAAGTAATTATTCTGAGGTAATCACAACGCAAGATTGAGGGGTAGAGCTTGTTAAGCCTTTAACAATAGTTTGCTCACTTCAGTGATTAGTTGTGAATTGCCTGGGCTCCAGAGACGCTCTAATGCAAAGGTGATGTATTACTAGAAATAAGAAAACAGGATAAAGCTGAAGTAAAACCTGGGTCGGACATGCAGTACGTCCAGGATTATTTGATGCTATATTAAAAGGAATGTTGAAGGGCTTTAAAAGGCTTAGATGAGCAGAAAGATGCTCAATACAAATAAAAATATGAATGCTATTTCCTTTTTATTTATAATATCTTCATTTTTGGCAGTCACATCCACTTAACTTTTTTTTTTTTACCTGATTTTCTTTACTATCCAACCAGTAAACTGCAATGTAGCTGTTCTGAGCAAATGAAAATATTCAGTTAGCTGAATACATATAATTCCAAGCAGATTATTGCAGTCACTGATTAGCAAAACTTTGGCCCTTTTCCATTTTCTGTGCAGAAAGTTGTAAATTTCACAAACAGCCAGCTTTGGTACATTTGTAATTACATGGATAAATTCCTATCAGACTGTGTCTTTACGTACTTTGTTTTGTTTTATTTAATTCTCTTTATTCTTTATCTTTAGTATTTCTTTCTTATATTAACTTTGTTTTGCATCCCTTTCAAAAGTTGATTAAGGCTGTACACGATGTATTTACTTGTGAAAGGTGAATGCTGCACCATAGTCCATTTTACCTTTTGGTCTGCAGTAATTTTAATGCATGAAACAATGTAACACAGAACATTGAAAGAAATGTGAAGGGGATCTGCAGAAGAGGGTATAGTTTTTGGTACTGGACACTTTCTGCAGAAAAGTAGGGGGGTTGATCATGGATCACATCATGAGTTTATGAAAATCCTCTGCAGTAAGTGTTATTTTCTGTATTGAAACTCAGTTGAATTTTAAGACTTCCATTTTACTTTGTGCTGCAGTGACAATGATTTGCAAATGAAAAAATAAATACTACATTTCTCCAACTTCCTCCCATAAACATAGTGCCATTGTTTAGGGAAGTAACTTTACAGGCAGTGCTTGTAAAGGGAGATTGAGTGTCACTACCATGCCTTGATGCTGTAACAATGAAGTTAGTGGGAGGTTTATCCCTTTATTCAGCAATATGGCATTGGGTGGGCAAGTGGTAATAAGAATGTTGCTCTTTATTTGGATCTTCTGTTTAAATCCTTGCTCTGGCAAAGTTTGATACAAACCTTTCAGGTTTTGCTGCACTGGATCAGCATTTTCTTTCTTTTCAGTGACCTAAGAAGGTTTTCCTAGTTACTGTCATTTATGAAAAGCTGAATTGGAGTCTTCTTCGAGAAATGAACAATGCTGGTTTTGTAGTTTCTTATAGTCCCTGTTAAACACAAGGAATAAAAAAGACTGCAGTGAATGTCAAATAAAGTTTTTGGGTGCTGCAGAGACCTTCAGTTTAGTACTGTGTGGAGCTGGTGTGACTATCCCATACAATGCAAGCTGTGCAGAAATGGTCCAGAAGTACAGCAATCGCCCTAGATGATTTGATCCAGTGCTGGATATAAGCTAATAATCTCTGCTTCTTGGGTTATGCTGTGCCGTTACACTGGCTATACTGCTTCAGCTAGAAAAGTCAGGGACCGCACAGGGGTCTTTGCACCATTCTTCATTGTGATCTCTACGTACCACCTCAAGGAGACAATAGGTCAAACCTTCCTGGGAAAACAGTCTTCTTTCCATTTTTAATGTAGTATGTATTAATGCATTATTTAATGCATTATTTGCATTATTTGTATTATTGTATTGTGTTAATACATTGTTTAATGTATTATTCCTTCATATTGGGCTAATCTTCAACCAGAACATATGTCAGAGGGATCTTTTTCCGTCCTGACTGGTGCTCAGCACAATGTTTTTATATGAGTAATTTCACTTTATTTCTCACTCCCATCTTTTTCTGAGAGACTTTTCTCTCCTCGCAGGCTCATTTCAGACTTCTGCTTTAGCTGTTAGCTGACTCTGCAGACGGAGTCTTGGCAACAATCATTAATAGAAAGCTAGTAAATGAGACAGAAAGTGAGCTCAGAGTCTCCCTAAACTCTGTCATTGCATGGCACTGCTGGTCAGACCACTCAGGGTGTGAGTATCCTCAGCTATCATCCGGTACCCAAATGGGTGCTGCCTGTCATTCCGACTGTCAAAGTCTGGGAAGAGATGTTTGATCAGTTGAATCTCCCAGGGATTTCAGTGAAAGGAGCAAGTGCAGCCATTTCTATTTATACTGTGATGATTGTACTCCCTCTCAAAAAAAAACCCCAAACAAAACCACCAAACCCAAAACCAAAAAAACCCCCCACAAACAAAAGAACCCACACAGCTGTGCTTTGTGGGAGGGAGCTTCGCATGCATTCGCTGTTGGCTAAGCTGTGGCTTCCCTGTCTACACTTTGCTCTCAGGAACAATCACTGACAACCTGAAGCTCCACTGGGAAGAAATTACTTAAGTCAAAGGTAGTGCCAGTCCCTCCTTAACAATTACTTCTTTCTCCTCTGCAAGACACTCGTTGCTTCACTTTCTGACAGCAAATTAGTTGGTTTGGCTAAAAGGATTTACAGTAGCAATCTGCTCTCTCTATGTTGCCTGCATATTGCCACTGTCCTGACACCTCATGGTGTGAAGGGAGTGATTATGTTTAGCAGGGGTGGAACCCAGCAGCAATGAGGGAGCACTCATGGTCCTAGTTAACAGTGTTTCTGAAGCTGTGGAAAATAGTCTAGGAGTCAGTACAAGCTCCCTCACCTGAGACAGAAGCAGTGTTCAAGTGCAGTCCTGTGAGCACAGTTCTGGAGAGGACTCAAAGCCCTGATTTCAGCATAGCTGTGAGGTGTTGAAATGTTTGCAAGCCAAAAGGGAGCATCTTTGTGAATTTAATGGAATATTTTTGTGTCTTAGTCATTTGGCTATGACAGTGGCCATGGGGAAAATGGATGCATGTATTTTATTTCTTTCCTGACAACACTTCTCAGAAGTGCTGTTGTGGATTTGTACCGCTGTATGTGCATTTCCCTGCACTTTTAGTGGAAAAATAAATGAGAGTGGCCTCTTTTTCTGCAGTTTTATTTGTTGTCCTTAAAACATGTGATGTTGTTGACTCAGTTTAACCATTTTTTTCTGCTACACTGGGTAGTTAATCATCATACATCAGAATTACAAAAGTCTTTTAATGCTCCTACTGATAACCTCTTAGTCTCTGATAATGAGTGTTTCTTGCAAGGGGAGATGCCTGAATCTCATGATGATGCTGTTAAATAAATGAAAATCATGTATGCCTGACTTCATTCTGTGAAATGTATTTTTCTCCCAAATGTTCCTCTGAGGATAGGTCAAAGGCTTTCATCTGCCTTATTAATTTTTAATTTTCTGAGTGTGGTGATATTAGCATCTTTTCAGCAAAAAATAGTTAGTTAGGTTATGGCGAATTTAGTAATAAATTATACCTACATAAGGAAAAATTTGTTCTTCTTTGTAAAGAAACAACTGGCCATTTTATTTCAGATTTAGTGATTTATCTCCTGAAACATACACACTCAGACTCAAGTAGTAAATTTTGCAGTCAGCACTGATAGAAAAGGAAGATTCCTGGAATCCTTTCTGTTTTGGCTTGAACTTATAGTTATCTGTAGGTTCTGGTGCCACAAATTGCTTCACAAGATATGCATGATTTCATCTTCATCTCATGCCAGTTGTTTCTAACATCTTTTTTTTTCTCAGAGACTTTCTCCATCTTGCAGGCTGATTTCAGTTGTGCTGACATTGTTGGTGGTTGGTTATTGAACAACTGCTAAATTTCCAGTGTTCCTGTTGGCATGCTGAGATTGGTATAGGAATGCTTTCAGCTCGTCTCATGGTAAAGTAGAAGCTACGGTTTTAATTTTTGCAGACAGGAGTGCACTATAGTTGACAGTCATGGCAAGCAGTTAGGTACTGTACCTACCAGCCAGTCTCTCAAGGAGGGGAAGGGGAATGAGAAGGATGGTATTTGTCTCTGTGGCCTAGCACAAAACTTCAGTCTTTGCGTCCATCACATTTTGAAGGATCAAAATTTCCCAACTTTCCAAAAACTGCTTTTGTCTTGGGCTTCAGGTGGCCTACAGCAACATATCTGCACATTTGAATAGCTGACCTTTGCATTACAGAGCTTTACACAGACAGCCCTTCATTTAGGTACTTCAGGAAGGGTGAAATTAGCCAGAGATTAATTGTGGGGGGTTTTCAGAGTTGGAGCTCTTAGAATGTAAACCTCTTTCTGGAGGCAAGTATACTGTAGGTATTTTAGTGAGCTGGTTTACCAGTGATAGGGAATGTAAAAATTAAGAGCAGCTTGATTAAGCACCAGAGCTTGAGTTCCATGGTCACAGGTCTGGTGAATGTGTGACGTGTCCCACAGCAGCATGTTATGCAGCGCCTGGGAAAAAGTGTAATATTTCAATGCACTGTCAATTCCAAAATATTGGCGTGGGGAGGGGTAAAAAATAATAATTCTTTTAATGTTTGCCAGTATGAGAACTTTATGAAAACTATGTTTAAAGTGGAACGAGTTGCTTTGCGCAAACATAAAATTTTGAAGCTGTTTCCTTAAAAATATTCTGGGATGACTCTACCACATTCATTAGTGCCTCTCAAGACTAGCTTTCCCTGTTACGAGGTTACTGCAAATGAGCCAGTTCAGCAGCTGGCACTAAACAATCCTTCCAGAGTTCAGAGCTGCTGCCTGTGCTGCTCCATCCATTGTGATCTGTCTGCCCACCCCAGAGAAG